TTTTTTTTTTAATCCAAGCGAAACTTCTCCCCGCCTCTCGCGGGGAGGCGCGCCTCGCATCGGTGCATGTGATTTTTCCGCACCGCGAAAGCCGCGTTGTATAAATAATATCAAAAAACACTAGCGACGTACTGGACAAGAGGAAACCGGCGAATCCCTCGCATAATGGGCTTAATATAATATTCACTACGCTAATCCGCGATGTCTTTCATCAGGTTCCCGCATTCGTGATAAATTTAATCTTCTGCGCTTTGTAACGATGTGACGCACACGTCCTGAAACGAAGGAGAAGGAAAGAATATGAAAAGAGATAAAGCGATTTGAAAAGGGGATAGAAATAAAAGTATTAGAGCCGCGCGCGGATAAGAGCTTTTTGTCGGGAATATTCATTGGCACGATTTTCGAGTGCCCATAGAATGAACTTCCAATAAAGTTACCGTTACACGTAGATGTGTATATCGAATGGATATATATGTGTAAGTTACGGTTTCGAAAAATGCTATTTAATACAAACAGTGGCGAGAGATGGCATAATTGAATTTAACAATATTCGAAGAGTTTCTCAAAATGCTTTGCAAACCCCGCGCAAAAAAACACATTTGTTTGTTTTTTTTTTATACAAAATTATTTTTTTATGTTATACAATTCCACCATCTCCATATTTGATTTGCGTACATATATCATCGTCAATAACAGTTACCTTTGACGTATTTTATTAAAAAAAAAAAAAAAAATGATATTACATTTTTACGTCAATCGAAAGCAAAGCCATGCTGTTATTCATCGGCATTTATCTGATCCATTACGGTGGGCCGGTCACCGATCGTCGATGACCCCGAGCGTTCGCCGGCGAACGCTACAGCGAGCGCTGTATCTTTCAACGATAAAACAAAAATCAGGACACCCACGTCATGCCGCCTGCCTATCCATTTCTGCTCGGCTCGCCGAACGTAGCCTTCATTTCGAGATAAATAATTCCATCCAACCGGCGTACGATTCGCACCATACCGGATGCTGTGATAAACGAGTGGTGCGGGGGAGGTCATACACACCAACATATAAATATGTGTAGTAATCCATACTTTCACGTGATCTGGATTTTATCCGCGCCGCGTCCGTTGCGTATTGTCGTTTCATTGCGCAACACTTCCGTTATCCGGCAACGATTGCGTGAGATTAACTCGTATTTACGGAGGTCAGCGATGCTTACATTACCCGCACATTTCGCACATAATGAGCCTCTCCAAATGAAATCTCTTTACTAATTCAAGACCGCTGCTCGACGCCACGCGTATCAAAGTTCGCGAGACTTTTTTTCATCTCTGACGAAATTTTTCATTACGAAATTACGCGTCGCGGGGAAAAGTAAGGCGCCGGTGAAGAAAATCGGCATCAAAGTAATGATCCATCTCGCCTGGATGTTCACGTGTGCGTTCACGGTATTGAAAATCGCGATACAGAGACACGCGGACACGAGGAGGAAGCGAGAGAGGGATCGAGTGAACGGGCGGTGCGGCGACGGGGGGGGGG